AATAATTTCATCTTGAACTTCTTGTTTTCACAAAGAGATAGTTCATTTAATAGATATGTTATCCAAGGGCAAGATTGAGAATTTGAACAACTGAGAATCATGCGTACTATCTGCACCTAAAAACAATGAAGATGACCCTGTAAATTCTTTTTAGGACACACAGCACTACTTACATCAAAAACACTTTAATTGCTTCTCCTTAATTCTCTCTGAGCTTGCATTTTAACAAGTTAGAAAAGTAATATTTTGTGCTTGCAAACCTGCTAAGCAAGCCCACTGGCTGACAAGTGTGTAAAGGTGATATTGGAAGAATGTTTCCCTCCCAAATGTTTATTCCCTTTCAATTGCCAGCTGAAGAATTAAACTGGACTTCTTTCAAACTTAAATGACCCAGAGCCCATGAAAGAAAAGGTCCTAGATTACCACTGGGCAGGAGATGGATGCTAATTATAAACTTTATTAACAATGAAAACAATGTGGTTCTTAGGCACTTATCACCATGGAGGAAATTGATAGTATTTTCTTGAAGTTTTGATTCTACTGTATTTTGTTCCACAATAAGAAATTTAACTGTCACACATCTGAAAATGGGAGGAGATAAAAGACTGTATTGTTTTAAAGAGCTGCTCACACTAAAATAAGATTCATTTTAAGACCTTCCCTAGGGATTCAAGTCTATAAATTTAGCATTAGAATAAAGAAACTAGAGTGTAACTGCCTGCTTGAGGAGAGAGATGATGAAGCATGCTTTGTCTCTAGTGCTTCCCACATCTCAGATACAGTGAATGAAACCAGGTGGGAACCTAAAAGCAGTTCTTTCCTTAACAGGCTTTATGCACATACCCAGCTGATGCGGTTACTCACAGGAATAAGAATATCCAGTATTAGAATACAAAATCGAATCTTATTCTAGATTCATGATTGACTATCCTGTCTTCTGACCAAGGTGTACTTGTTTCAGTAACCCTTAAATAATGTTGACATTGCTTTCTATTTTTTATATAAAATAAATAGCATTAAATATACACAGTTACTATTTAAATATATACATAAATTAATTGATAATATTAGAAGATGAGCTCACAGATTAATACCAGCTCAAACAGTACAATAATACTGGTTTTAGGAAAACATTTTAAATATCTATACAGTCTTACATGAATGATACTCATGAAAGACCATAGATAGACAATCCCAATAAGACATATTATTACTATAGTGAGGAACTTTGAGGGAAAAAAGAAAAGCCTGGCTGGCTCAGAATATCATCCTCTATCAGATTCTGAGAACAAATTATCTTGTGCTTGTTTGTATCAATTTTACTATTTAAATATGTGTTTAATAACTGTTATTCCATTATCTATTTCACTGATGGGCATTTTCCTCTATTATTGTATGGAAATAATTTAAAATAGTAGAAAGAAAAACCTACATCAAAAGCCATATCCTTCTGTTACTGCAATTGCTTATGGATATTATAGTTCTGGACCAATAATTCAACATTGAAAATAGGAAGCTACCAGTACAGTCCTTAGTTGTTCACATGATGTTAAAAGCAATGTTTCACCAAAATACCACTGGTAACCAGTGAACTTGACCATTAATGTTAGATTTTCCTACACATACCAGTATGTGAAACTTAAACTTCATCATGACTTCTTCAACTATCAATTCAACTTCAACCACCTCTCATGCAGCTTTACCACAAAACTCTCATTGCCTGTGAGTGCAAGTGTGCTCCTCCAGAGTCCCATACTTCATGACCTGAATCCTACTCAGCTATGTCTATTAAATACAATACTACATATATGAACACAATTCAGAATTGACAACTCAGGTATCATTGGAAGCTTAAGGACTTCATCCATGTAGATATTTGCTTAGAAGAATTTTACACAGAAGCAATAAAATTACAAAGAAAGAACAGTAATGTTCATACAAGCTTGTAACCTTCATCTTTATGTTTTTCTTTTAAAAGGCAACATTTTATTTAATATCTTTGAGCTACAGTAGTATCTCTTAAGAATTGCTCTGGCTCACAGCCCAACAAACTGGCATTGAAACAAACAAACAAACAATCCAGAAGTGCTACAGAAATGTTTCTTTTCAATTAGGAAAATGGATTAACAGAGGCAGAATAATAAGAGGAAATAAAGGATCTCTGTATTTTATAATGTTCAACAGGTATTATCTGTACTTTATTTAGAAACCGGAAATAATTAAAATCTGCTTTCCAACCATCCTAAGTATCTGTTCAGGGACATTTTATTCAACTAAATGTACACTGCTTCTTTCCTGAAACCTGTTTCGTATGTAAATTTGTATTGCCATAAGAATTGTCATATATTCACACAATTTACCATCAAGTACAATTGTATTATGCACTTGTGCTGACACAGAGTGCTGTACAGTACAATACATACACTGCTACTGCCAACACCTTTGCCTCAGATTTCTCATGGTTTTAGCCTTTGCTGTTCCCTACAAGAAGAAAGTTGAATTTGCAGTGCTATCCAAATAGCATGAACATGGGAATGGCTGTTCTGGGGCAAAACTCAAGTCTGTCTAGACAGGATCATGTCACAGAGTAGTCAAAAGCAGTGGTTTAGGGAAGAACCTCACATTAGGACAACTCTTGAATACCAGAGAAATTCCCTCAAAACAGATTCTGGCTCCCAGCAATCTGTGGCTCAAAGACTGAAATATGAAAAGAGACTGAGAGAGCTGGCTGGTATATGATGAACTGGGAAGAAGAACTTCAGATGGAATATTTCAGAAGGAGGAAATATGTTCCCTCATCACACTACTGCATTTCACCCAACAGTGTCTCTTGCTACTGGTATTGTCTTTTGCCCTCCAAACGTGTTGTTTTCCATATGGACGAGGTGGCAAAAATGAAACTGTTTCCCTTCTTGCCTCATAAAACCTCCTTCTGACTGGAGTTGGCCTCCTGTTCCTATTCCACTTGACGAAACCAATCTTTTTCTCCTCCCACACTAGCTCCATCTGCCGCCCGTCTCTCCAGCAGAGCCAGATGCCAGCAAAGCAGACTACTGTGGGAGGAGAAAGTTCTGTTGCTGGAATTTCTTCCCTATACCCTGCAGGGGGCCAGCCTGTGAAGCCTGGAGAGTCTACAGAGAGCAACTTCCTCCCTTCCATGCTGCTTTCCTATGCTCATCCATAAAGAAGGCAGCTGAGGACAGGAGCAAAAGGAGAAAACTTTAACATGCACTATGAAATTGTTGACTTCAATATTTACATAGCAAGATTCACAACAGACTACAGACTACACACTGCATAAACGCATAAGAAGACATGAGTGCTGCCCCAAAGTGCTTACAGTCATACTGAAGCAGAGATGTACATTTGTGATATGAAACGAATGAGAGGGACTAGTGTGCAGATAGCAGAGAGGAAAAAAAAAAAAAAAGGTAGGATGTATGATCAAGAGAGATTTTAATGATGGAGTAAAGACGATACTTTCCACAGAGAAAGAAGTCAGAGAGGGAAGCTGAGGTTGCGTGTTGCTAAGCAGAAAGGAGGACTGCATGTGGCAAGGGAAACTGCCATCCAAGAGGGAAAGGATAGAATGAAAGCAGACAAGGAAAGAAAAAGTGATTTTGGTATGTATGAGGTGATCTTGCATGAGGCAGGATGAGAGAAAGTAAAGGTAAGGACTTGAGACAGAAAAGGAGACAGTTTAGGGATGGAGGAGCATCTGCGGGGGTAGTCTTGACATAGACAGGAGCAAGAATGAATGTCTCTAAGTGAGAACAAGAGCTCACATAAAACAAGCCAGTATACATATTGGCAAGACAGAGAAAAAGGCAAAGGCTTCATTTCTGTGAGAGAAAGAATTGTGGGAACATGAGATGAAAGAGACAAGGAACAAGAGTGAGTTAAGGGTGGTGTATGGGTGCAGCAGAAAGTTTGGAGTGGGGCTGGCAGGACAGAGGAAAGAGAAATCACACCAAGATCTAACAAAACCATTACAGCATACGTGAAGTGGAAAGAGCACAAGCAAATTAGAGAGATAGTAATGAGAAGATGAAAAAGAACAGACAGAAAGAGAAAGACAGCACATTGAAAAAGATGAGGAAGAAGGGCTTACAACAGAATGAACAGAGTGACGGGAGGGGGAAAAGGAGGAGAGAATAGCTGCTGTAAAGTCAGTAAAAGCTCATTATTTAATAGGAAGCATTAGCATTATGTAAATATATATTTAATAATAAATAAATGGAAAACGGGGAGCATATAGAAGAGTGACTGGAAATAGCTGTTCACTGAATTCTCACCGTGGCTGCAAACTCTTAGGATTTGCCCCATCTAGGTAACACTATGTTTTAACCTTCATTTTCACTTAGGAAAAAAAAAAAATGTATTTCCTGGTCCTCCACACCCTCTAACTTTTGTGTTGTAGTTGCACCTTTATGCCATTTGTTTCACCGTTTCTAGTGGCAACTCTTTTTGTTAGCTTTAAGTGGGAAAAAGATCTTATTTTGCCAAACACTTCACCACAAAGAAACGCGCCCCACATCCCAAGTTTCCTTCCTCCTGTCCCCACAACACTCTTTCATTCATTCTTCTTTCCAAAAAAATTAAGGAAGAGAGAAGGATCGGAAGAAAAGGGTGGGGGTAACCTCAGCTATACAGTAATATCTTAGGTCCACGGTATTCTGAGAGCCTTCCCCGAGCTGTAGTGCCCAGCGCCGGGCCGGGGGCTGCCCGCCTGTCCCGGGGGGGCCCAGGGGGCACGGGCAGCGCTCCAGAGCCCGGCACCGAGCCTGGAGCTGCCGCCGGCAGCGGGATCCCCCTCGGAAACGCAGCCATCAGGGAGAGGAGCTAGCTGCCGGCTGCTGGAAAGAAACCGCCACCGACCTGGCTGCTCGATGACATGGCTGGCTGGGGGGGGTCGGTTTTATTTAGGGGATGTGGAAAAGGGAAGGGGGAAGCAGGAGCGGAGGGAGCACACGCTCGCACACGCATACGGCTGAGCTTACCTCCACATTGAAATACTGCTCCGCTTTGCACATTGTAGCACATAAAATCCAAAGGAAGGTTTGCAAGAAAAACACCCTGGACCGAGACACGAAATCCAACCGGCTTCCAGTGCTGAATGCGAGTACGATCATAGTGAACTGTGCTTCAACGGATGGAAGATCTCTCTCTCTCTCTCTCTCTCTCTCTCCTCCTCTCTCTCTGTTCCTTAAACAAATACACAAACAAACCAGCCCCCTCCCCGGGTCGGTGAAGAGCCCGTAGCGCAGGTTCACCCACAGCAGGGGAGGAGGTGGAGAAGGAGGAGGAGGAGGAGAAGAAGGAAGGGGCACTTGGCAGCGCCGGCAGCAGGCTCAGCTATCGCTCATCCTCCCCGCCAGTCCCGTACGGGGGGAATGTGGCGTCCGAGTGCCGCCGCAGCTCCGGCACGACTCCTCTCTGCCCGGCAGCAGCAGCAGCAGCCGCCTCCCCGTGTCCTCCTCCTCCTCCTCCTCCTCCCCCTCCTTCTCTTCAGCCTCCTCCTCCCTCCCTCCCTCCGTCCGTCCGTCCCTCCCTCCTCCTCCTCAGCCTCCTCCCCCTCCGCCTCCGCCTCCTAACGGGGATGGCTCGGCTCCGCTCCCTGCCCTTCCTCTCCTCTCTCCCCACTTCTTTCCCCCCTCCTCATCCCAAATCCACGCAGCCCCGCCTGCCTCCCGGCAGCCACCTTGAAGGCGGCGGCCCCGCCAGGCGGCCCCGCCGCGCTCCGTCCCTCGCCTCCCCGCCGCCGCCGGCCCGGCTCTTCCATCCCTTTATTTTTTTCGCTTCTGCCGGGGAAGGGGCCCGCAGCGTCCCCAGTGCCTCCTGCCTCCCTGCCGCCCCCCTGCGGGCCGCGGGGGGAGAGGTGGAGGGGTCGCTGGGGTGCCCCCGGGTGACCGGGGATGGATGCAGAACCACCGCGGGGAAAGTTCCCCGAATGATGTAGTTAGCGGTGATGTAAGCAAGTCAGTAATAAATAAATAAAAATAAAAGTGTATTTTTAGTTTCAAAATCCATTTTAATATGCTCAGATGTACGGTCATATTATTGGGGGAAAAAATGCCTTCCGATTTAGGCACATAAGCAATTATTGTGATTTTATGATAAATAGATCGTTTTATGAAGCTGTTTGATGTTTTAGCAGAGCTGCCCAGTCAAAGGTGGAGCAACTCATGACATTAGTGAGACAAGCTGTTGCGGTAATGCATCTTGTTCAGATATGTACTGAAAAACAACAACAACAAAAACACAGGAAGAAAAAGAATAATTTAGAAGATTCCAAGATATGAAAACTTACAATATGCTTAGTTATCAAAAAAGATGCACTAGATCAGGATATGCAACAGACTGGAAATAGAAGGCATCCCTGACAGACAAGTCTACTTTATTGGGTAGTTGAGGTCAATGACCAGAATTAAAACTCATGCAGTTTAGACATATAGAGTTTTGATAACACTTAGTAGCAGAATGTAGGAATAAGGCAGGTTCTCCATCTTTTGATATCTTAAAAATAAGGCAGTTATCTCTGAAGATGTCATGTTCTGCCTAACCAAAAGTTTAGCAATTTAGCAGAATTCCTATTGTGATACACTTTTCTTTTTTTCTTCTCTTTCCTTTTTTTTTTTTTTTTTCTTTTTAACATTAACTGCTTGATCTAAAAGGCATTTTCTCTTCTTCAAATTCTTAGTAATGTGCATGATGGAATCATGAAATATAGAGCTGGAAGCAAGCTAGAAGGACTTGCTGGCATTTTGGTGTCATCAGAAGTCAAAATGAGCTTAACAAATTAATGTATTGAAACCATAGCAAGAAACTTAATACTGACAAATGCAAATTACATTTGGGAAGAAAGATCAAAAAGTATGACACCAGTAAAACAACAACAGCACATCAGAAAAGAATCTGAGCGATGTAATGGACCTTAAAGTAAATATGAGTCAGCAACATGCTACAGTTAAAAAAAAAAAAAAAAAAAAAAAAGACAACCAACCTCATCATACAGTGTATTAATAGTTGTCCTTTATTTCTGATAGGACAGATGATTTTTCTGCTAGGGACTGGTGGAGCCAAGAGTGTTTAGTCTCAAACTAGAGAGAGTCCAGAAGAAAATAATACTAAAACATTTAGAATGTAAGACATGGAAAATTTGAAATAAACACCATTTCTTTAGTCTGACAAGGCCTAGGGGAAATAGTATGGAAAATTTTCTTTGTATGGAAAATGTTGCTGTGAAAAGGACAAAAATACTCTTTCAGTCTTCAGGATGAAGGAAAAATGTATCAACTAAATTATTTAAAAAATTTAGATTTAAAGTTAGATGAAAACATTATAAATTTATTGCTAAATTTATTTTTTTTTATTTCTAAATTTATGTTTTGTTTTGTTTTGTTTTTTTCTAGATTTATTCTTCCTAAAATATAAAGGTAGTAATATTGGGAACTAGATACGTAGGGGGAGTGTGGAATATCTTTCATATGGAGGTTTGATAAGCAATAATATTATAGCTATACCTTCCATTTTCAGTATAATGGATTGGAATATGTGATCTCATCTTTTTTTTTTTTCTTTTTTTTTCTGGGGGGGGTGTGCTATTATATTAGTAGTTTCATTCATTTTATTATTCTATGAATTAGTAACTGGTTATTACTCAGGTATTACTTTGTGAACTAACAACTGATAATTCATTACTCTGTGAATCAGTAACTGGTGGAAAAGAAGCACTTATCCTGTGCTTTTTGTTTTTCCTCTTCTTCTAAGGAACCTTCTTTTTATCTGTGCTCTCAGAAAGTGCTAGCTCTGTTTTCGTTGGTGTATTTTGTAACGTCCGCCATTAATGTAATACCTGAAAATGGATACATAAATCATAGAATCATAGAATGGCTTGGATTGGAAGGGACCTTAAACATCATCTACTTCCAAACTCCCTACCATGGGCAGGGATACCACCCATTAGACTGGGTTATCCAAAACCCCATCCAAACTGGCCTTGAGCACAGCTCCTCTGGGCAAATTATGCCCCTGTCAGGACTGCTCTGACTATTTATTCTGAAAAACATGGGACTATCAATATGATTACCTTCTTCCTTTACACTGTATCCATTAGAAGAGGAAAGAAGAAAAGCAATGGTATGAATAGAACAGTGGAGAACAAAAACACACAAGTGCTTGTAAGGCTGTGTGAGAAAGATAGAGAGACCATAGTGATAAAGAAAGAGATTGGTAAGGAAAAAGAGCAGAAATATGTGGCCATGGGAAGAAATGAGGCAATGTCCATATGAAGGACAAAGATGACCTTTGAAGTGAAAAATTTCATTCAGGAATGCTTGTGTGAGGAAACACCAGCAGTGATGGGAAAGGGCCTTGAATATTTATGTGTAAGCTGGGGGCATCAATATACAGGAGTACCATCAGAATCTCTTGGACGTTCAAGGTAGAGAGAAAGAGAAAAGAATTCTGAAACTCCATGCAGTGAGCTGTAGGTAGATATCTGTGTATGGGAGTGTGTGAGAGATTGAAGAAAAGGCAGGAAAGAGCAATGAAGATGAAAAAAAAAAGGAAAGAAGAAGAAAAATGGAACTGGAAAGAACTTGGAGATATTTCTTGAAGTACTTGATTGATTCAAGTCCTGTACTTTATTAGTGTCTTGCTGATTTCTATCTTTATGAAATAGCAGTGTGATATTTTCTATTCTTACTGCTCATACTGCTTACCAGCAGTAATTTATAAATGGTGAGCAGGTTTGCAGGGAAGTGAAACTGAAAAAAAAAAAAAAAAAAAGAAAAACAAGCAAAAAAACCTTTTGGCCTTTTTCAAATACAAGGAGAGGTCTTTTCCTGCTGCTCCCAACCAACCTACTAGCTCAGTTTTTTAGGTTCCGTAGATTATATCTTTTATGTATGACTGCAGTCACATAAGTATGTACTGTACTAGTATGTACTATATTGTACTAGTATGTACTATAGTATGTACTAGAAGCAGGCATAGGCATCATTGAGCATGCCCATGTCCAGCTTTGAATACAGGGCAAACATCTTCCACATTACTGCATATACAATTCTGAATTAAAAAAAAAAAAAAAAAAAAAAAAAAGATAAGTAAAAAAACACAAAATATTACATGTTGTCTTTGCTGACTTCTGTGGTGCTTAGCTGCTAATAGTGCAAGCTGGAACTTTTTAAAGGAAGAGGGCTTTGTTGAAACATACAATAAACTGCAAGAAGTAAGGGTAAATATCACAAATCTTACATATCTATGGATTGCTATATTTAGATATAGTTTGGAAAGATTTTCTACACACATGACCTTTTACTTATGAAATGAGGCTTTCATAGATGTGTCTATTTGGCAGGTCCTACAGGATATGAAGGCAACAAGTTTAACAGAGTACAGGGAATACTGCATTTAACATGCATTCCTGCAACAATTAGGCTCATATTGCCTCTGTTCAGGTCACTATTGGTCTTTATTGTGCAAGTTTCATTGTAGTCATAAGCCTATGTAGTCAGGAATTAGAACTGACTTATACTGCTAGTACACTTTCCTATGTTGTCTTACAGCTCCACCAATGGCTTTATAAAGTAGCTGAGTAAAGACAGGAGAAGTAATATTGTGAAACTTCACACAATTGTAGTAGAATCACAAGGAAAGATCCTAGAATCATAAAATGCACTAATAATTCATATTTTGGTTCATGCTTGGTTGCTATTTTTCACCAAAAGCCGGTGAAGTCAAGGAGGAAGTCTGAAAGTGTAAAAACTTATAACTAACTAAATAAAATTAGTTAAGTATCCATTGAATGTTTAATTCTAATAGTCATAATGTCATAGAATAAGTAATAAATTCATAATGTCATAGAATAACTTAGGTTCACAGTGGCCTCTGTAAGTCATCAGGTCCAACTGCCTGCACAAAGCAGACTCAACTCAGATTAGGCTACTCTCTCTGGTGCTTGTTCTGAGAGTTACAAATCAAGTTAACCTAACCTAAGTATATAACCTAGTCTGCAAAATGATTTCCCTGTGTCAGGGAGATATTTCAAGGGTAAAATCTCTTTTGTGTGGCATTTGTCAGGCCTCCAGTTATTTTAGTCTTCATAGTGACAGCATCCATTTCAGAAACTAGAGCAGATATCTCCTAATCTCTTAAAAGTAGGAGAGGTCACCAAGAGAAATAGCTATTGAAAATAAAATTCTGTAGCTAAAGACTGACAGAAGTACATTTTAAAGAGAAAGAAGACACAGTGTTAAAGAAAAATGACTCTTGGAAACAAAAACATTGTGAACTACACAATAACAGTAAAAATAATCTATTTTTCTGTAATAAAATATTAAAAAAAAAAATAGTTGCATGAGTTAGTACTGTATTAGTGAATAATAGATCAAAAAAAAAAAAAATGCACCAAAGCAGCCAACTCCTTATTTACTCCATGCAAGTACTCATATAAAACTTTATTTTCTCTACTCTATGACAATTTTCATGCTACTGTTTTCCCTTTCAGTTGTAATACATTCT